GTGCTGCCACAGTATGAAGCCCAGGCTAATCTTGGGGATGAAAGGTTACAAGGAAAAGAGAGAGGTCCAGTCAAAAGTCAATCCACTGCCAGCCGTAAGTGCACCCAGTCAAGCTGCCAGATGACTGCAGTAGCTACGTGCATGATCCCAGACAAGGCCAGAGAGCACATAACATGGCTTTAGGGTACTGATTCCGGGGTGGTTTGTCATGCAGCAATAGTATGTATATGTGTATAGGTATGTGTGTGTATATATATGCAGTAGAATTCTTCAGCCTTAAAGATTGGAGAATATTTTTAAACTGTAAAAGGGGTCTTAGGTTAATCATTAGGATGTACTTCCAGACTTTAGGGATCAAAAAGTTCCTTAAAGCTGTAATGATATGTCACCTAGATTGCTGCAGTGAACAGTGAAAGGGAAGACGATTCTTCTGTGATGGTTTGTGCACAGTGTTTTTAGAGGAAGGGTGATAATTCTAGATGATGTTCAAAGTCTCTTTAACTTTAGAGCCCTGTGAAATTCAAATTCTTGTGAGTTTAATAACTCCACGTCCACTTTAGGGACTTGTACATAGCATTTTGGATACTTTTCACAAATGACTGATCTGTCGACTCATCTTCCACATACAACGTGATCCAAAAGACCCAAGCTATGGTATAGTGCAGGCAACACCATACAGGGAATATAACATAATGGCTAAGGTTATGAGTTCCAGAGCCATATCGCTTGGGTTCAAATGCTGGCTCAGTTGCCTCTCAGCTGTAACACTGATGGGTTATCTAACCATTCTTTCCCTGTTTCTGTGAAGAATGGACGATAACATCTCACTGGATTGTTGATAGGATTAAATGAGTTAATGCTTGAGAGTAAAACATACTTACTCAATACATGTCAGATACTAGTATTGTTATTTTGCAGAAGGAAATGATTTTGGTCTTAGAGTAAGTTCTGTTACTATGTGACCTTCAGCAAATCAATTAACCTCTCTGCATTTCAGTTTTCTCCTCTATAAAGTAAGGTTTACTAGATGACTTTGGTGGGTTCTTTTCATCTTTAAAATTCTGTGATTCAGTGTTCAATGTTTTACCCACATGCACATCCTAATCTTGTCTATAATTCTAATTTTTTAAAGATCGTTTAAAACTTACTCTATTAGCAATTCTGAGGACACTCTGGTTATGATCACTTTGAAGTGTAAATAACACTGAATTTACTCAGGCAACTAGACATTTTTTATTCACACCTGGTCAGCAAATATTTATAACGCACATACCTGAAGCAATGCCTTTTCACGTCTATGAAAACTTAGTTGTACATTAATTTTTTTAAACCCACGATAAATTTGGTTAAAAGTAGGAAAAGATCCTCCAAAAGTGAAGAAAATATTGCACCTCAAATTTTACCAAAGATCTCCAGTGTTCAATAAAATCACCAAAATTCCACTATTAAAGGTCACATTTTCTATTTTTTTTTGCTTCAGCAGAGTGCATACAATTTATTATAAACATATTATAAAAACAAACACCATCATGTGGATGAACTTTATTTTACGTTGGGTTATAAACTGTGGCATTTCGTAACATTTTACTTTCATGTTCTGTGATGCTTCTTGACAGTGGGACATAAAAATGATCGTATTAGTGTGACTAGCTGGTGTGTGTGTGTGTGTGTGTGTGTGTAGAATGTCAGTACCTAGAATTCCTTTTAAGTAGTTAATTTTTCCATCCTTTTCCTGTCACACCTATAATCAAACTACAACAACCCCTCAAGACCTATGCAAAACGCTCCATTCAATATTTTTACAGTAACGGATCTACTACAAACTTAACTCTGAATTTTGAAAACGGATTTCAGTCACTCGTTTGCTCTTCCGAAATATATATGCAGCCTATTTACTAAACTTTCTTTTCCAGGGATCAGAAAACTGGCAACTTAAGTTAGACAACTACGAAGGTTTTCAGTGGATCTTGGCTGGGGGTTGGTAAGGGAGATAAAAATCAACGGGCTTTTTCTTCCTCAAAATTCTCGTATTTGCTTCTGGAGCAAGAATTCCGTCTGAGGAGCTGTGGTGGGGCGATGAGGCGGAGACGGTGGCTCTGCCGCACACAGGTTTGAATTTGACAGACCACTGCAATCTTCGGGGATTTTCCAAGCAGGCTGAGCGCGCTGAAGAGGCGAAAAAGTGCGTACAGCCCACGTGACCCAACTTCACTTTCAGGCTCCAGAAGCGAAGCGCAGCTGCAATCAATACCCATCTTCCATTAGTAGACTGTTTTCCTCCCAAGAACCTGCTAAAAAAACTCCAGGTGCTGAGACACACTTTGGAAATTGTTGGGTTAAAAAAAAACTCCACCTGTACACTTATAAAAGAGCTAACCACCTTTTCGGGATCACCACTACGGCTTGCGCATCTGCGAAGCCTGTTCCTACAGTTCCCTCCCGTGCTTTTCTAAACCTCCCCGTTTCGGTTCCACCAAAAGAGCGATAGCAACAGTTCGGTTGCCGAGGAGCCCGTCTCCCGGACGCAATCGCCGCACCAAGGGCCTCGCACCTCTCGGCCCGCGAAGCCGAGGACTTCGGCTCCCCGTCCGCCAGCGGGGGAACACGAGGGCGAGCGGCCGGCCCGAAACCCCAGCCTC